GGGGAGAAAAAAAAGGAAAAAAAAAAAAAAAAATCTTAATTCAGCAGTAATGACTGTACGCTCTTCTTCCAGAATAAGGAATTGTAAGAATATCATTATAGCGAAAAGGTAATGCCAAGAAATGTAAGCATCTAGCGCTGGCCGCCTTTGAACGTAACTCTTGGCAGATAAAAAACAAAATGCAGGCAATACTTTAAAAACAACTGGATTTGAGATTCTATTTTTCCAGAATATATTAATCTATGATGATTCTATTAGTTCATAATAACACTAAGATTCAGGCTAGGTCTGGTCTCTCCTCCCATATCAAAGATGTAAGACAAGGGCTGAGGAGAAATGGGTCCTTCACCTTCATTTTCCCCATCTCCTTGGCACTGTAGCTGTCTGTACCATAGAATCATAGAATCATAGAATGTTTTGGGTTGGAAGGGACCCCTAGAGGTCATCTAGTCCACCCCCCCTGCAGTGAGCGGGGACACTGCTAACTAGATCAGGTTGCTCTTGCTCAGAGCCCCGTCCAACCTGGCCTTGAATGCTTCCAGGGATGGGGCCTCCACTACCTCTCTGGGCAACCTGTTCCTGTGTTTTACCACCCTCATTGTAAAGAATTTCTTCCTTATATCTAGTCTAAACCTACCCTGGTTTAGTTTAAAACCATAGCTAGATATTCAGAGGAAAGCATAGAATCGTTTAGGTTGGAAAAGACCTTAAAGATCATCAAGTCCAACCGTTAACCTAACCCTGCCATCCCACCACTAAACCATGTCCCTAAGCACCTCGGCTACCCGTCTTTTAAATACCTCCTGGGATGGGGACTTGACCACTTCCTTGGGCAGCCCATTCCAATGCTTGACAACCCTTTTGGTGAAGAAATTTTTCCTAATGTCCAACCTAAACCTCCCCTGGCGCAACTTGAGGCCATTTCCCCTCATCCTATTGCCCGTTACCTGGGAGAAGAGACTGATACCCACCTTGCTACAGCCTCCTTTCAGGCATGTAAAGGGCGATAAGGTCTCCCCTCAGCCTCCTCTTCTCCAGGCTAAACAACCCCAGTTCCCTCAGACGTTCCTCATACGACTTTGTGCTCCAAACCCCTCACCAGCTTCATTGCCCTTCTCTGGACATGTTCCAGCAATGCAACATCTTTCCTGTAGAGATCACTAGGTGGGGAGATTTCTGAGACCTGTGGGTCACCTATGCCTCCAGCCTTTCAAAACTATTTAGGCTTCAGAGGTCCATCGGAGCTGCTATTTGTATCTTCCAGTGATCAGCAGCAAGAAGCAATGCCCACGCCACCATCTGGGTTCATGGTTTGGAGGAAAGGGAAGGAACTGTAGGAAACAAAGCTGAAGCTCAGGTCTCTCTTCAGATGAGGATGAGGGGAGAACCATCCTGTGATTCTGTGAAGGATGCTGGCTCTGTTTTCTTACTCAGGATCTATCACAGTTACTGTTAGCTAAAAATGATGCTTATCTTCCTAAGCAAAAGCAGAGACAGCAGAGAATAATCCAGTGACTGCCCTAAATACCTTCTTTTTAGACCACGTGGAGGCAAAATTTGAGTGCTTCTAAGTACAAAGAGACCTGAAACACTGAAGGGAAGCACATCCGAAGCGATGGGCCCAGTGTAAGAGTTAAGTCACCTGGGCTGGGATATTTATTGCCCATGCTTCAGGTTGGGAGAAAATCCAGTGGAAAAGGTGGAATCCCCTGGGCAGGGGAGAGGACAGGCCTGAGATTTGAGGCGTAAGATGTCCTCTCATAACTGTGCTAAGGGTTAGGTGAGCTGTTCACGGGCTGGGAAAAAACCCTACTATTTAGTGATTAACTGATTATCGTCTTCCCTGAAATGAAGTAGGAAGTCAGGCTGGTAGGTCTGAGTAGGCAACAAGCAGCAGTTGGTGGTAGAAGCCTCTTCAATGGTGCAAATACAGCCAGAAGAAGACACAGAACTACACCTTAAGTGATAAATAGCCTGCAGAAGGCTTCTTGAGTGTTTCTGTGTCAGTTGGGACTGTACCACAGCTGTATAGCCAGCTGCAGGTGCACCCCATGCGTGCTGTGACAGTACATTGAAAGGAAGAATTACAGAAGCCTCAGTTCAGATGCTACACAACCACCTTGCGTTACTCATTGGGAGAGAGGCAGCACGGCCTTCAGCCTCAGCACGCGAGAGGCTGGCGGAGATGGCCTTCCAAGCCTTTTCAGTCTTCCTGTATGACTTCAGCAAAGCATGTCCTCATGCCTCAATTTTTCAATCTGTAAAAGGGGGGCAGTTTTTAATCACCAAATAAGGCTCCTGTGAAGTTAAATTAATTATTGCAGGTAAAAAGGGTTAGGTCCTTTGAAGGCAGGTGTTAAACAAAAGCAAAGATTTATTACTAAAGGAACATGATAGGTCCATTTGAACTTTGTTCGGGAGACCGCAGTATTTATCGATTAGTAGCTTTTGGCAGGGGGAGAAATTGTGTAGATGACCTCAGGGAAGTAAACTACAGGAAGGTGTGTGTGAAGGCATTCATGCTCTTGCTAACTTTATTGTAAATCTTGATCCTTTAATAAAGCTGTGACCTTGGAGTTGACAACTAGTACGCCACAGAGCAATACACAGCATAGCACCAGCCTTGTAAATCTTCGGTAGGTTCTGCCATTGACACAGACAACATGTAAAGAGAAATCAGGCAGCTGAAGTTTATGAAACGCATTTATTTGAAGGAAAGCATTTTAAATCAGACTTCTTAGCTGAAATGAAACCAACGGCCCTGCCAACTTTTTACTCCTCTTGATAAAACATATTTGTGAAATGAAACCTCAGCAGTGAAAACTTGTAGAACTGCTCATAAAATTTTGCTGTTTGCAGGGGGCAACTGCCACTGAAGAGGTACATTTTTGATCACCTTTGCACAGCTATTGTACAACTTTGTACGAACTACTTTGTATTTTTAGCTGTGCAGGAAACCATAAGTCCACTAACTTTTTCCCTATATTTTTGGCTACTTTGCTCTGGCAGACCAGATTTGGTTTTTGTAGTTACTCAAAACGTTTCCACAAATTCTACCCTTTGGAGCATCTTTCTGACCAAGTAGTT